AATATGCTGGGAAACTTTAGAGAAAATTTGTCTTGCATGACAAGAGTTCCACAAGTAGATATAAGTAGGAAGGCACAGACACGAGTAATTATGAAGACATAAACACAAGTATGATAACACACACAAGTATGGCGACATACACACACTAGTATGAAGGTATATAATAATAAAGACATACAAACTATTGTGAAGTCATAGACACTAGTATGAAGACATACACTAGTATGAAGACTTACACTCTACTATGAATACATACACACTATTATGAAGCTATGTACATTAGTATGAGGACATATAAACTAATATGAAGACACTGACACTATCACAAGTATAAAGATATATACACTAGTATAAAGACATACAAACTAGTATAAAGACATATACGCTAGTATTAAGACATATTTGCTAGTACAGAAACTAATAAACTCATATAAAGAACTATACACTACTATAAAGACATACAAACTAGTATAAAGACATATACGCTAGTATTAAGACATATTTGCTAGTACAGAAACTAATAAACTCATATAAAGAACTATACACTACTATAAAGACATACAAACTAGTATAAAGACATTTACACTAGAATGAAGAGAAAGACATATACACTAGAGTGAATACATATACACTATTATGAAGACATATGTATTATTATGAGGACAATTACACTAGTATGAAGACATACATTTATACGAAGACATCCACTAGTATGAAGACAAATACTAGTATGAAGACATACACATATATGAAGACAAATACTAGTATGAAGACATACACTAGTATGAAGACAGATACTAGTATGAAGACATACACTAGTATGAAGACAAATACTAGAATGAAGACATACACTAGTATGAAGACATACACTAGTATGAAGACATACGCTAGTATGAAGACATACGCTAGTATGAAGACATGCACTAGTATGAAGACATACACTTATATGAAGACATATATATTTGTATGAAGACATACACTAATATGAAGACATACACATATATGAAGACATACACATATATGAAAACATATATACTAGTATGAAGACATACACTTATGTAAAGACATACACTAGTAAGAAGACATACACTAGTATGAAGACATACACTAGTATGAAGACATACACTAGTATGAAGACATATACACATTGTATGAAGACATATACACTAGTATGAAGACATATACACTTGTATGAAGACATATACACTAGTATGAAGACATATACACTTGTATGAAGACGTATACACTAGTATGAAGACATATACACTTGTATGAAGACGTATACACTAGTATGAAGACGTATACACTAGTATGAAGACATATACACTAGTATGAAGACATATACACTAGTATGAAGACATATACACTAGTATGAAGACGTATACACTAGTATGAAGACATATACACTAGTATGAAGACATATACACTAGTATGAAGACATATACACTAGTATGAAGACGTATACACTAGTATGAAGACATATACACTAGTATGAAGACATATACACTAGTATGAAGACATATACACTAGTATGAAGACATATACACTAGTATGAAGACATATACACTAGTATGAAGACGTATACACTAGTATGAAGACATATACACTAGTATGAAGACATATACACTAGTATGAAGACATATACACTAGTATGAAGACATATACACTAGTATGAAGACGTATACACTAGTATGAAGACATATACACTAGTATGAAGACATATACACTAGTATGAAGACTATACACTAGTATGAAGACGTATACACTAGTATGAGACATAATACACTAGTATGAAGACATATACACTAGTATGAAGACGTATACACTAGTATGAAGACGTATACACTAGTATGAAGCATATAACACTAGTATGAAGACATTATACACTAGTATGAAGACATATACACTAGTATGAAGACATATACACTAGTATGAAGACATATACACTAGTATGAAGACATATACACTAGTATGAAGACGTATACACTAGTATGAAGACATATACACTAGTATGAAGACATTATTACACAGTATGAAGACATATACACTAGTATGAAGACGTATACACTAGTATGAAGACATATACACAAGTATGAAGACATATACACTAGTATGAAGACGTATACACTAGTATGAAGACGTATACACTAGTATGAAGACATATACACTAGTATGAAGACATATATACTAGTATGAAGACAGATACACTTGTATAAAGACATATACACTAGTATGAAGACATATACACTACTATGAAGACAGATACAAGTAGCGGAGCAAGGTTTTACTAAGGCAGCGTTTCGCTCAGTGTGGAGCTTCATCAAGTTACAACTTACTAAAGTTCAACACAGGGTAAAACACCGGCCCCATAAAATCACGAGTTGCAGCTTGTACTGTCATCTTTAAAACTCCGCGTCGTGATTATGCACTAATTTAAGTAATTACCCTCACTTAATTGGTATATTTCTTAAGATTGATTATGAATTAGAAAAGAGAATAACTTTCTCTCTCTTAATTCGTAGATTCATTTTTTTTTTTGTAATTTAGTAAAATTCATAGTGAGTGTTTCTTTTTTTTATGGGGGGGGGATAAATCCGAATAAATTCCTAGAATAGTTAATTCAATACTTTTTTAAAGATAAAGGAAATTATGCGTTAACTCTAAATTTGAAACTTTTATTTGACTAATTTTATGCTAATGATAATGTTTGTGTGTGTGTTTGTGTGTGTGTGTGTGTGTATGTGTGTGTGTGTGTGTTGTGTGGTGTGGTGTGTGTGCGTGTGTGAAATACACACACACACGTGAGCGTGGGCGTGTAATACTAATGTGGAAGCGTGTAATATTTGTGTGTGGGTTTACGATTTTAGTGTGAGGTTGTGATATTAATACATGGGCTTGTAATATTAGTACGTGGGTGTGTAATATTAGTGTGTGAACGTGTAATATTAGTGGTGGTCTGAACGTGTAATATTAATGTGTGGAAGGGTAATATCAGTGGTGTTGCGGGTGAGCAATATTACAGCGTAGGAATGTAACATGGTGCAAGGCTGTGTAATACTAGTGGTAGTGCGAGTGTGTAATATTAGTGGTAGTGTGGGCGTGTAATATTAGTGGTAGTGTGGGTGTGTAATACTAGTGGTAGTGTGGGCGTGTAATATTAGTGGTAGTGTGGGTGTGTAATACTAGTGGTAGTGTGGGCGTGTACAATTAGTTGTAGTGCGGGCGTGTAATATTAGTGGTAGTGTGGGCGTTTAATATTAGTGGTAATGTTGGCGTGTAATATTAGTGGCAGTGTGGGCGTGTAATATTAGTTGTAGTGTGGGCATGTAATATTAGTGGTAGTGTGGGCGTGTAATATTAGTGGTAGTATGGGCGTGTAATACTAGTGGTAGTCTGGGCGTGTACAATTAGTTGTAGTTTGGGCGTGTAATATTAGTAGTAGTGTGGGCTTGTACAGTTAGCTGTAGTGTGGGCGTGTAATATTAGTGGTAGTGTGGGCGTGTAATATTAGTGGTAGTGTGGGCGTGTAATATTAGTTGTTGTTTCGGCGTGTAATATAAGTGGTAGTTTGGGCGTGTAATATTAGTGGTAGTGTGGGCGTGTAATACTAGTAGTAGTGTGAGTGTATACAATTAGTTGTAGCGTGGGCGTGTAATATTAGTGGTAGTGTGGGGCGTGTAATATTAGTGGTAGTGTGGGGCGTGTAATATTAGTGGTATTGTGAGCGTATACCATTAGTTGTAGTGTGGGCGTGTAATATTAGTGGTAGTGTGGGCTTGTACAGTTAGCTGTAGTGTGGGCGTGTAATATTAGTGGTAGTGTGGGCGTGTAATATAAGTGGTAGTTTGGGCGTGTAATATTAGTGGTAGTGTGGGCGTGTAATACTAGTGGTAGTGTGAGCGTATACAATTAGTTGTAGTGTGGGCGAGTAATATTAGTGGTAGTGTGGGGCGTGTAATATTAATCGTAGGATGGGAATGTAATATTAGTGGTAGTGTGGGCGTGTAATATTAGTGATAGTGTGGGCGTGTAATATTAACTGGAGTGTGTGTATACTTAATATATTTAAGTTTGTTATTTTATTTTTATTATTATTATTATTATTATTATTATTATTATTATTATTATTATTATTATTATTATTATTATTATTATTATTATTATTATTTAGCGCATTCGGAATGGAAGGCAATCAGCTTCGATGTGAAGGAGAGGATTGCTCCAATTCCTTGAATCAAGAGCCATTCACCAGCCTCAAGGCAACTCTCACTGAAGGAAACAACCAAGAAAGCCCAGAATGCATGGTAATACCCTGGTCTTTTGATCCAAGAAACTGGGGATACTATTCCCTAAACTGGATAAAATATAATCAACTCCCATTACCTATTTACCCATGAATTCATTAATAATAACTAAGCTGATAATTTGCATTAAGGTGGTTCACATTTTGTTTTGGAAGAAACTTACTCCATTTTTCTGCCAAGTAACAAGGTAAAGTTTGACTTCATTAACTAGTCAATAACCCTCTTTTTAACACCTTGAAGATGGCTTCAGATGAAGACGAAAATAATCACATTGTCATTCTTATTTTTTCCCACACACACACACACACACACACACACACACACACATGATGATGAGGGTCCCCAGTAAAGTTCTAGAGGTGGTACCTCCCTGTATTATGTATGTGTCTAATATTTATAATGTATATATACACTTGATTGCATTTGTCGTTTTTATTTGTCTACTCGTTTTAAATCGTCATAGTTATGTCATTGGATACAAGTGTTTTTAAAGTGCAGTGTTTTCTTTTGAATTTTAGTGTGACTGTCCATCACCTTATTACTTACAGAAGAAATTAAATCTACAGGAATGATTATAAAAGGCAGATTATACACTTAAATAAAATTAAGTTGGATGTGCATACGTATGATGGTGTCTGGAAGTGGAGGATAATTTTATGCTCAACCTGAGTTATTCTCAAGTAACTTTGAACTTACCAGGAAGGAAGAGAAGTAGCTGCAGGAGGCAGAGTGTCAGGTCTCTGAGTGCCATCATGGTGTTGTGTCTCTCTGCGAGTCCTCACAAGGCACCACACTAATCTCTGGCGATTATAGTGTCACTGAATTTTATAAATGGCCTTAACCGCATGCGACCATCGAGTCACCGATTTGACACCATGGAACGCTCATGGTAAACAGTATTAACACAGACTTTTTTGACATAATTTGTTATTAATTCCTGGAAGCTCGATCATCGCCACACTCTACTTCTACTGAGAATGTGCCTAAATATCATAATATGTACAAATGTCACGTGAAAACTGTTGGTTTCGTGACAGGGGTCACCACCCAACAGAGGCAGGCCATACGTGAATGGGCCAACTCGTAGCGAAAGCTCCGCTCCGCACACCGTCCGAAGACATACTGACTCTCAGCTTTTCCCGTCCACCAGCGTCTAGCAGGCACTGTGACCAAATATCTGCGCCAAGTCCAATAGTCTCTGTTCATATCCATTTTGTTTCGAACGTTATGTGCGCAATGCCAGTTTTTTTTTTTTTGCCTATCTTGCATCTCTTCCCATGTACAGTCGGTGTCTGGCTTTAGCTGGATTCATGGAGGTGGTGGATAATTGCAGTTCAGGGTGCCACCCGCATACCATTCATCAATATATAGTTTTTTCATTCATAAACACTCGAATTGTTAATTTTTCATGCTTTGTATAACTGGGAAAGAACTGAATACTCTACACATTTCTAGCCAGTCTTCAACATAATACTAGCACATTATCGACACAACAGCTTCGATAGTGATTTTCGCTGGCATCGGTCACAATAAAATATTAATGTATACCTGGAGACGCTGTCTGGGGTCAACGCCTCTGCGGCCCGGTCTGTGACCAGGCCTCACGGTGGATCAGGGCCTGATTACCATAGACCGGCTGGTCAGGTACTGATTGTAGGTGCCTGTGCAGCGCCTTCTTGAAGACAGTCAGGGGTCTATTGGTAATCCTCCTTATGTATGCTGGGAGGCAGTTGAACAGTCTTGAAACCCCTGACACTTATTATGCTGTCTCTTATCGTGCTAGTGGCGCCCCTTCTTTTCACTGGGGAGATGTGTCGTCTGCCGACTCTTTTGCTTTCATAGGGAGTGATTTTCGTGTACAAATTTGGTACTAATCCTTCTAGGATTTTCCTAGCGTATATAATCATGTATCTCTCCCGCCTGCGTTCTAGGGAGTACAGGTTGAACAATTTCATGCGTTCCCAGTAACTGAGGTGTTTTATCGCACTTATGTGCGCCGTGAAGGTTCTCTGTACATTTTCTAGGTCAGCAATTTCACCTGCCTTGAAAGTTGCTGTTAGTGTGCAGCAATATTCCAGCCTAGATAGAACAAGCGTCATGAAGACTGTCATCATGGGCTTTGCATCTCTAGTTTTGAAGATTCTCATTATCCATCCTGTCATTTTTCTAGCAGATGCGATTGATACAATGTTGTGGTCTTTGAAAGTGTTAAGAAATGCAAGTAATTAAGAGTTCGACAACCGTACGATTAGGTATTTAAACACAATTATATTCTACATTGTTCAGTTACTCAGAGCTCCCAGAGATAAAACTAAACCATGAGCGAGACCTGCATATGGATGTCAAGCAAAGTGCGGACATTAACATAGAAATATTAGTTAAAGATTTGTCGCCTAAACGACTGTTTTATTGTTTACTCCCATGACAATCCTGTGGACTGAAGAACAAGAGCATATTAATACAGAGAAGCATTGGAACCAGGGCCTAAAAGTGATGCCATTACTGCTTTTGGGGTATAGGCTGTTTATAAATTGCTGTTAATTAAAGGTGCTTGCTCAGTATTTATGCAATTTTTAACTAATACGATACCCCGATGTATTATGTAGACTATTGTAATATGCATTTTTTCAATAGGTGGACAATCTAACACAGTGTTCATAAAGCTGACCACATACTTTCCATATACTTTGCATTTCGTCTGTATATATAGCATACTACCAGAGGATACTTGTAACTAAGCCCTGAGTTGTTCTAATTTAATATCTGCATGCCTATGTACATTGTAAACTGCTCTTAAAATGCACTTATCTGTTACTACAATGGGTTGTAGTTTACAAATTTTCTCTGTTTTCTACCCTCTTTCCTATTACAGTCACATTTATTAGTTAATGAAAATGATCGCATTATTGATAATACCCAGTAAAGACTGACCAAGATTATACCTGGCTTCTTTTTCAAAGTATTTTCTATAATTTGCTAATTTATCGGCTTTTTCATGTAGGAATAATTTAATGTTAGATGTAATCTGCAAAAGGTGCACATTAATTCTCTTCACTCTGATTTTTTTGACAAATAAGAGAAGCCAGGACAGGGACTGTAATGTCAACTCTGTTCGTTCGTTTACTGTCTTTACCTTCTAGGACGGTGATTCACCCTTCGAAGGTGAATCACTTACTAGTGGAGGGCTCTTTATCCAAGGAATAAGAGCTAACGTACCTTTACGATGGTTGACCCACCTTTCCTCAGGCGTTATATAGTGTCTGTGAGTTGTGTGGCATGCAAAGAGTATGTAACCTTTATTCTGCGCATGTACACACCCTCATTGAAAAGGCTATCTCCCCAACCAGCGAACCAGTACTAGGGTCAAATGATGGTGCCCCATCGATCGATCAGTACCAAAGTTCAGCCAGTGAGAAGGTCGGTCTGGCAATTGTGGAGGTGTTGTGGTCACCACCCACCTGTCCACCCTTGTCATTTCCATTCTAGAGCTGGTTGAGCACGGTTGTCCATTCTGTCTCCAGGCTGTGTCTTTGCCTTGCCTAAACCGTGTTGTACACATACATTTCCAACTGTACATAGTGTACATAGTTGTAAATTATTACCATTGCTCTTGGTGAAAGGAAATATATTTCAAAGTCATTAGATGTGTTTGTTCTGTTCTTTGCTTCCCTTTCTACCTAGGATAACAGGCCTTATTGTGCCTGGGTTGTAATAAGTTGAGTGCCTTCCCATGTTTACAACAACAGCAATAACAACAACAGGAGCAGCAGTAGCAGCAACAGCAACAAAAAAAAAAACAGCAATAACAACGACAGCAGCACTAGCAGCAACAAGAACAAAAATAGCAACAACAATAATAACAACAACAGCCTTAGCAGCAACAGCAACAACACCAAAACATCTATAATAATAATAATAATAAAATAATAATAATAATAATAATAATAATAATAATAATAATAATAATAATAAAAGCAAGGTCCCTGTGTAGCAGCACAGTACTTGTGGTGTGATTTAGGTGTGTACATAATACCTGCTCTGTACAAGTGAGTATTGAAAAATATACAAATGAAAAAAAATGCCTAACTTTCACCATTATTTACGTCATCTTTCCCAGCTTGCTCTTGCACGAAGTTTACACTTTCAAAATTTAATTATATTTTGGCAAATATAATTTATGCTTATTATAAAATCTTAAATAAAAGAGCACCACGGTCAAAATTTAGCGGCGGGCGTGAGACGTAAGCGAAATTCTGTGAAAATATGAAGGAAAATGTAAGTGAATTTCTGTCCGGCAGGAAGAATAAGCAGGGTAGAAGAGGGTCCCCTGACGCTGGTGAAAAGCTCTTTAGCCAAGAAATTGGAGCTATAATCGCATATCTCTTATTCACAGGCAATATATGACCCCCAATGGGTTTAGCGATTCCTGCATGTATTTAGTAAATATAAACCCACTTATATTGTTTACTAAATTCACTTTGACAGAATTTATCCTTTCTGAATAAGAACCAGTTCGAGTGTATGAAATTTGACGCTTCATGATGCCAGTGAAAATTTCTTGATCCGGAGAACTTGAACTCTCCTTCCTTTTTTTTTGAAGAGAACTTGGCTACTTCGTCTTCCAAGTCACTGTATGATCGTTATGGGTTTAACTGTATTACAACCCAGGCACAATAAGGCCTGTTGTCCTGGGTGTAAAGGGGGAGAAAAGAGCAGAACAAACGCAGCTGAATGACTTTGAAATATATTTTCCTTCACTAAGAGCGATAGCAAGTATTTACACTTATGCACACTATATACGACTCACGAAATCGTAATGACACGATTGTAAACAAACCATACCACGGGCGGGGATAGAACCCGCGATCAGGGAGTCTCAAAACTCCAGACTCTATGACCGCGGGTTCTATCCCCGCCCGTGGTATGGTTTGTTTGCAATCGTGTCATTACGATTTCGTGAGTCATGTTAACGGCTTTGAGGGGACTTGAGCTAGAGTTCGCCACGGCCACGCTAGCTGGAGATTCGTCTGTAAAAACTTGCATTTGTGGTCACAGTGGTGCCTATGCTAACCTTCCTATGGCGTAGAAATATACCTAGATGGACGAATCTTATTGTGGCTAGCTGGCCCAGTGGCTAACGCGACGGTCTGGAGTTTTGAGACTCCCTGATCGCGGGTTCTATACCCGCCCGTGGTATGGTTTACACTATATACAATTGGAAATGTATGTGTACAACTCGGTTAGTTAAAGGCCAAGACACAGCCTGGAGACAGAATAGACGACCGTGCTCTAGAATGGAAATGACAAGGGTGGACAGGTTGGTGGTGACCACAACAAACTCTCTTCTGGCAAGATAGCGATTGAATGAATAACGGAAGTGTGTTTCCTATATTTTAGGTCCCCTTAACTCTGTGGGTAACGACAGATGTATTAAAAAGTAATCATAAGTATAACTGGACAATTACTTAAGTTTTGTTGTATTAGAAATATTGCTGGAGTACATAAAGAACCTGTAAAGAGAAAGTGGACTACTTCAGTGCTATATCACCAAGGCAGTAATGAATTTGTAGTCCTATGAGCAGCTAACAGCAAAAGCCTGGCGGAACATGCAGTCGGCATGAACTCTGGCTGGGTAGAAAAAAATCATCGAAGCTAATCAAGGTGTGTTGCAGGTGGAAATGCACACAGGTTTTGAATATTTCCTTGAAATATTTTCAGACACAGATATGTCCTCGGAATATAAGTCCTCAGTCAAGCCTGTCATTCCACACCATGAAAGAAGCCTGTTACCATTTTATGCAATAAGATTACAGTAAACAGGTGATATCACAATATGCAGAATAACCACTGTGAAAAAATAGTGAAATTCCGAGCGTTTTCGTGACTTCTCACATTATCAAGGAACTTTGAAAAAGTACTCTCAGAACTCTTCGGTCACAAACAGTTTAAATGGTACAATATACTGATCCAACCAGAAAGCAACACAACCTATCTGTATATATTTTTGCTTGGCTATCACATTTGCATTGAAAGTAAATGTGAGCACACAACTATTTCACAAAGACTGTCATAATGGTCTAATAGTAACGTTAGGTAGGACCT